GAAAGGTCTTTGGAAAAATCCCTTGCCAATGTCAAGGGTCTCCTGTGTAAATCTCCTTATGGAAATCTCTTTTTCTACAAAATTTTTTAAAAGGCAAATGACTGTTCTGGGTAAATGAGCACAGCTCTGCCCTTTCCAATCCTTGGCCAACACACTGGCTCCGTGATTCATAACATGAGCGATGCTTACACCAGATAAGGTCAGGAAGTAGGCAAGTTCTTTCTACTTTTCCTCTTAAGAATCCTTGCCAACCATGAAGGGAAGGACTTTGGTACTTGGTATGCAGGCGGACATCCCCATTTTTAACCAGAAGGCTATGAGTCTCTTCTACTTCTCCAATATTCTTTTTAACAATCTACTCCAGTTCTCTACTGGTAGGATGAGAACATTTCACAGCTGTGCCACTTAGTTTTGATCCGTGTGTGTGTGCGGGCACGTGCGTGATTTCAAGAGTTGGCAGCCACTTGCTGCAGATAAGAGGTAGGAGGTGAGGCATAACATCAAAGCCAACATTAAAGAAAGCTCAAGAAACCTGCATGATCTTTGCTTAGTGAGTAAGAAAGCAGTCAGTGCAGTAAAGAATTCCACTCAATGAGTAATACTGTGATGAGAGTGACCAAGTAAATAATTTGTTAGCCATGGACGCTTTTATATCTCTATGAGGCTATAATGTGTTGTAATCATTGCCAACTTGTTTTGAGACTCCTGTTCCATTCACTTGGGCCTCCAAAAATTCTGGTAATCTACAGTGTGCTTCCAGGGACTCTATCCCAGCTTTAACCTACAGAACCCGTGGAGTATACAGGCCACACCCATGCCAGGGCAAAATTAATGACAACATGATCTTAGATTAGAATTGCTTTGTGAGGCCCTAGGCAGGGAAACCTTCGACGCAGGAGCAGAGGTGCTGGTGAGCAGTTTTCAGCACAGTGTAAGGAAGAACTACCTAAGAATTAGAACTGTTGGAAAATGCAACGACCCTGTTGAAGTACATTTACATGCTTTGTAATTTTTCACCACAGTGAATCGTTCTGCACTGAACGTCTTTGAAATATAGCTTTGTGTACTTGCCCAAATGCATTTAAAGGATAGATTTCTAGGAGTAGGATGGTTCTGTGGAAAAGTATATGCTCTTCATATTTTACAGATGCTGCCCAATTGCCTTCCAAGGAGGCTGCATCAATTTACACCTCATAAACTGCGCCCATTTCCACGCAGCCTCATGAGTATGGATCAGTCTTTTTCATTGTTGCCAATCTGATCAGCAATCCCTTCCATCTATCCATCCATCCACATACCCACCCATCCTTCCATAGCCAACAATAACTAACAACTATAGAGTGTTTACTCCATGCCAGATACTATCCTAAATGCTTTACATGCATTATCTCAGGTAATCTTCCCAGCAATGCTATGAGGTAAGTGCTGTTATTATTCCCACTTTAAAATGGAGTCTAAGGGTTTCCCAATAAGTTAAACATAAGGTTACCATATGACCCAGCAATTCTGCTCCTGGGTATGTACCCCAAAAGAATTGAAAACAGGTGTTCAAACAAAACTTGTACAGGGATGTTCACAGTAGCTCTATTCACAGTAGTCAAAAGGAGGAAATAATCCAAATGTCCTTCAACAGATAAATAGATAAACACAATGTGGTATATCTATCTATACAACATAGTATTATTCAGCCATAAAACAAAGAATGAAGTATTGACACATGCTACAACACGGATGAACCTTGAAGACTTTTACTAAGTGAAAGAAGCCAGACCCAAAGGCCTGGATATTTGAAATATCCAGAATAGGTAAGTCCACAGAGACAGAAAGCAGATTAGTGGTTGCCAGGGGCTGGAGGGGGTGGGAGGATGGTGAATGACTGCTTAATGGGTATGGGGTTTTTCTTTGGGGTGATGAAAAAGTTCTGAAACTAAATAGTGGCGTTGGTTGCACAATATTGTAAACGCCACTGAATTGTTCACTTTAAAATGATTAAAATGGTAAATTTTGTTATGTGTATTTTACCGCAATTTTTTTTTTTTGAGGAAGCTTCGCCCTGCGCTAACATCTGTTGCCAAACTTCCTCTTTTTCTTTTTTCTCCCCAAAGCCCCAGTACATAGTTGTGTATCACAGTTGAATTGTAGCTCTTCTATGTGGGACGCCGCCTCAGCCTGGCTTGATGAGCAGTGAGTAGGTCTGTGCCCAGGATCCGAACCAGTGAACCTCCAGCAGCCAAAGCAGAATGCGCGACTTAACTGCTACACCACCGGGCTGGCCCCTTACCACAATTTTTTAAAAATGTAATTTGAAGCTCAGAGAATTGAAGTGTCTTATCTAAGGTTACTCACAGTTGAGGTGTGTTTTAATCTCAGTTATACGGCTCCATGGTTCATGCTTTAAAAAAAAATTTCAGTGAAAAACTTTACTTTGGATCATTTAGGAAATTTAGATACATTAGGCCAAGCTGAAAATATCAGTAGCGTTAGATACCACTTATTAAGCACATACTGGTGACAAACACTATATTCTATTTAGTCTTCACAATGACCTTGAAAGTTTAGTATTATTGCTTAGTTTTTGTGTGTGTGTGTGGTAAAATATATGTAACAAAATTTACCATTTTTACCATTTTTAAGTGTATAGTTCAGTGGCGTTAACTACATTTACATTGTTGTACATCACCACTCTCCATCTCCGGAACTTTTTTATCTTCCCAAACTAAAATTCTGTACCCATTAAACATTCTGTCCCCATTCCCATCTCCTGCCTGCCCCTGGCGACCACCATTCTAGGCTCATGGTACGAGGCCCAGGGCTATTGACTGGGGCTGCAAAGCAGAATAAGACGTGGCCGTTCTCCAGGTCTGTCTAGCATCAAAGCCTGTGTTCCTGTCCTCTAGTGACCTTTACACTATGCCCTTCTTCATCCAGTTAGAGAAGTCCAGTTGTAGGATGAGACCGTCGAGAGTGTCGTTGAAGCATGCGGAAAGGATGCCTGTGGCTGGGGAGTGGGAGAAGGAAGTCAGTGAATGCAATATGGTTGAGATGAAGGGATTGAGATGGGGACGAAGGGATTTCAGCAGGGAGGCCTGTTAGGAAGGTTGAAGACGAGGAGAAGTGGGAACATACTGCTTCTCTTCTCTTTACTTTCACGGATTGTTCTAGGAGTACATGAGATTTTGTGACGGGATGTGCTTTGAAATGCCAAGGTTGCTCTGCGTACATTGTTAGGACTCTTGCATCACTACTGAAGTGGATTTGTTTGAAGGATGTAACTCACGAGAGCAGTTTCACTGGGGGATGCAGATGACAAGATGGTTAGTGGATAGAAACCCCTCCTTTAAGACATTGGGCCACAAAGGGCAGGGGAGAAATAGTACAGTGGTTGAGACTTTAGGGTCAAGCAACGGTCTCATAAATATGACTTTCTCTGATTTTAAAATTAAAATAGTAATACTTAAAAAAAATCAAATATAAACACAAGTGGATTTCTCGTGAAACTAATAAAGCGTAAGCTTCAAGCCTCTTACTCACACAGGCTCCTTCCAAGGCCATGTATCTACTTATGTAATTTTTTATTTTGTAATTTTAATTTTATATTTTTTTCCAGAGAAAACCCCCCAAATTGTTTAAGCTTCAGGCTCCACAAAATATGGACCCACTCCCACATAGAGGGCAAAAATCTAGTGAAATCCCACCATGCGGATATAATCATGGGAATTTTAATTCTCCAGATTTCTTCCTGTGTGTGTTAGTACATTACTTTTTACAAAAGTTTGATTGTACTATTTTGCAACATTATTTTTTTCTCTTAATATATTCAAGCCACCCCCCCACCTTTTTTTTTGACCATGGAAACATTCGATTGAGTGCTTTAAGTAGTTTAACCAGGAGTAAAAAAATAACAGAACCAAACCAAAAGGAGAAGGACAGTACAGATAGCACCATGGCACAGGGAGAGAAAAGAGTATTTAAATCAGGCCTCACTGTGATAGATGTGCTGCCCCCATATCCTATGCACCTGCTTGGTATCTGTAATTACTATATAATTATTTGTGTAATTTTTATTAACCTCTGTCTCCTGCATTACATTGTAAACATTTTAGGATAGGGATGGTAGCGTGATACATAGTAGGTATCCAATAGGTATGTATTGAATAAACGCTTGAATGATTGAATGTTGAGGATTGAGTTCAAGGGAATACTGGGTCAGGAAATTAGTAGGAACTCAGCCAAGAGTTTCGGGTGTCAGAGAGTTGTTGGGAAGATGTGTTTTAACAAGGGTGTTGACGCTGTACCTAGAGAACCAGTAAGGAATGGCTTTCTTATCTCAAGTGTGCTACAGAAAGGGCAGTGGTGGTATTTTAGAAAGGATTCTGATAGTTTAGAAAGAGAAGATGTAGGTTTGAATCTTAAGAAAGTTATGTGGTTTTTTGGGAGGTGGGTGGGTGGGAAGCTCAGTCTTTTATCTGTAAATGGGGCCACAAATCCCTACCTCCTGGGGTTGTTAGAGTCCGGTTAGTCAATAGCTGTGACAGTCCCTAGCATAGTGCCTGGTATACAGTAGACGCTCAATAAATGATTTTTGATTCCAAATCAGAAATCAGAGACCTGGGAGTAGAAGCAAGATGAAACCAAGAAGGGAAAGGAGACTGCTCACTTAAACTAGAAAAACTGAGTTCAGTTATGCAGTGTGCATAGTTTGGGTTCTGAGATGCATCACCTCATGGCAAAGTCATCTCTTACACTAACGGTTGACTTGAAAGTTGGTGGCAGAGGGGAAGGAAGGGGTATATGAGATAGTGTTGCCATTCTAAGGCTCCAGTCCTTCCCCTTGGGTGGTGGCAGTAGAGGAAAGCAGAAGTGACCCCTGGGAACCCTCTCCCTCATTTGAGGAGTCCCTCGTACTTTGTCACAGTTACACACTGGTGATGAATATATGGATATTATGAGTATTTGGGCACCAGATCTTCAGTTCCCTTCTATTAATGCACAGTAAAGACCTTGGAAAACCAATGGCTGAACCAGAGAGCCTAGGAAAGAGCCATGGCCTGAAGACTATAGGGTCATCTGTTTTTCCCTGACATTCATGTATCTTTCAGGTGGAGACAGGACCCAGGACAATGGCTGCTGCTCATGACTTGGAAATGGAGGTTATGAATCTAAATATGGATAGAGCCATGAAAGAAGAGCTGGAGGAAGAGAAGATGAGAGAGGATGAGGGAGGTAAAGAGTCCTTCAAAAATAAAAAAGTCCACAGGATTGTCTCAAAATGGATGCTTCCTGAAGAGGTCCGAAGAACATACCTGGAGAGAGCTAACTGCCTCCCACCCCCGGTGTTCATCATCTCCATCAGCATTGCCGAGGTAAGTATGTTGGGTGGTGGGCACTAGTGCACGTACCACTGGGGATTTGCAAACAAACTGGGGGTTTAGATCAGATCTAGATAAGAGACTAGAAAACATATAAGAAGAGAGCTCACTGGTTGCAAGTAGGGCACACACAAAACTTAGCCTCACCCTCTCTGGAGCTCTCTTCCCAGGTTTTTCCTATGTTCCCAGTCACTTTCAGCCACAAGTTGAGTTTTATTTTTCAACCAAAACTCCGGCCCAGCAATGACTACAATTTCAGTGGCTTCATTTCATTTTAGTTGGTGGGGGATTTAGAAACCAATAATCTTGGAGTTTCAAATTCGTTTGATCTCGTGAACCAACTTGGATTGATTGATAAGGTCTGTCTGGAGGCATATGTTTAGAAGAGTTATAGCCTGCCTCCAAATTTCAGGAGGAAAAAAATGGGACCCTCTAACAATGTCTACTGTGGGCAGCATGCAGTGTGTTTTCAGACTCTCATCTAGTCAGCCCTCTTGTTTTCCAGAAAAGAATGCAAGGCCTAGAGAGGTGGAATAACTGGCCCAAAGTCACATACTTAGTGATTGGGCCAGGACTGGGCTTCTCCTGAGCCTCATCATACCTAGCTTTTCCCCCCACACCATGATGTCTCATAAAAGAATTGGCAGAGGATGGCTACCTGTGGGTTGTGACTTCAGGGACATTAGGAAGTCCCTAATGTAATCCTCTTAATTCCCACTGATGCCTCACCTTCCTTATCAGGGACTGTATTAGTCACGGTTCTTTAGAGAAACAGAGCCAGTAGGATGTGCCCCCCCCCCCCCCCCCCACATACACACTCATACAATACACACACACACGCATTATCTATCTATCTATCTATCTATCTATCTATCTATCTATCTATCTATCTATCTACACATGCATATTTATTGAGAGAGAGAGAGAGATTGATTTATTTTAAGGAATTGTCTCATGTGATTGTGGAGGCTTGGCAAGTTCAAAATCTATAGGGTAGGCCAGTAGACTGGAGACCTAGGGGGTAAGAGTTGCAGCTGCAGTCCGAAGGCAGTCTGCTGGTAGAATTCCCTTTTCCTCTGAGGAATTTCCTTTTCCTTTGTTCTATTAAGGCCTTCAACTGATTGGATGAGGCCCATCCACATTATAGAGGGTAATCTGCTTTACTCAAAGTCTACTGAGTTAAATGTTAAACTCATCTAAAAAATACCTTCACAGAAACATCTAGAACAATGTTTGACCAAATATCTGAGAACCACAGTCTAGCCAAGTTGACACATAAAATTAACTATCACAGGGATCTAGCCTCTTATGGCTCAAAGATGAGGCTAATGTGTAAACACTCCTGGGAGAAGCTTTTGTCAAGGCTGTTTTGGTTGGAGGGACGTAGCTCTGAATTTTTTTCAAGGGGTTTTATTGTGAGACAACCTGCTAGGAAGCCATCAGGATTCTTTCTGCTTCTCAGCACCCTACCCCATGTAGAGGATACCCCATGTTATCCTCCCAGCCTGTGGATTGGCTGGCCTGCCCATGGTCAGTCAGCGGTGTGTGGTGGAGCAGGGGATTGGAGAAGAATGGGATGAGGTCACATGATACAAACATGACTGCCAGAGTCGGTGCTGTGGAGAGGGCAGTTTTCCATAGAAGGGTCTTGGAGCAGGTGCTGAGATATCTGCCTCTCACAGAAAGATCAGTTTTTTTATTAAAAATTTTCTTAAATAAAATTTTTATTTTGGAATAATTTTAGCTTTATAAAAAAGTTGCAAAGATAGTATAGAGATTTCCTCTATACCCTTTACCCAATTTCTCCCATTGTTAATATCTTACATTTCCGTAGTATGTTTGTCAAAACTAAGAAACTAACAATGGTATATTATGTACTACGAACTAAAATCCAGACTTTATTTGGATTTTACCAGTTTTTACATTAATGTCCTCTTTCTGTCCATCTTGTACCCTCCACCCCAGGGTATCACACTGCATTTAGTTGTCATATCTCCCCAGTCTCCTCTGATCTGTGTCAGTTTCTCAGTCTTTGTTTTTCATGACTTTGGTAGTCTTGAGGAGTACTGGCCAGGTATCCTGCAGAATATCCCAGAGTCTGGGTTTGTCTGATGTTTTTCTCATGATTAGACTGGAGTTATGGGTTTTGGGGAAGAGCACCACAGAGGTGACGGGCCCTTCTCATCACATCACATCAGGGAATAAGGGACATCCTCATGACATCCCTGGTAACATGAACTTGCATCACTTGGTTAAGGTCGTGTTTGCCAGGTTTCTCCACTGCCAAGTTACTATTTTTCTCTTTTCCTATTCTAGTCTTTGGAAGCCAGCAGTGACTTAATTTTATATTAACTTGTAAATGAAAGACCAAATGGTGGGGGTAGGAAGACGAGGGCAGTGGGTATTTAAGTGGGGAAAGGAAGTTGAGAAGAGTCTTCTTTACAATTTGGTCTAGGGCTGCTCCTAACCACTGGAGGAAGTAGGATATGAGCATAGTTACATGGTCAGATATACGGCAGGGAAATGTAATTCCTGCCATCTTCTGAGCACATGCTAGGGAGTGGCTCACTTGAGAGCTAAGCATTTGAAACAAAGTTAGTGCCCGTGAGCTTTAATAGGGCCACTCTCTGCAGAAGGTGTGCTTAACATTCATGTCTGCCCCTCCCTGTCAGCTGGCAGTGTTTATTTACTATGCTGTGTGGAAGCCTCAGAAGCAGTGGATCACGTTGGACACAGGCATCTTGGAGAGTCCCTTTATCTACAGTCCTGAGAAGAGGGAGGAAGCCTGGAGGTTTATCTCATACATGCTGGTACATGCCGGGTAAGGAATGACCATTAAGTCACTGATGTCAGAGGTGACTATAAGTATTGTAACCCTTAACATTCGTTTGGTGCTTTATCATTGATAAGGTACTTTCACGTCCATCATCTTGTTTGATCCTCACAGCAACCCTAGGAGGCAGGTATTACTCCTGCCATTTTATGTCTGAGGCTTAGGGGATGTGGTCACTTTGCTCCGTGTCACACAGCTACGTTGTGGATCTAGGACCTCAACCCATTAGTGCTAACTCTATCTAGTGTACCTTATATTGCATTGTAACTGCCTAACATCAGTATTTATGTAGGAATCTTAATGAGAAGAGACCAAATCATTACCAAACCAAAAGTGTGTTCCCTAAGTTGTTCGATGTTGTTAAACGTTCCCTTGAGGATATGAATCATCAGTCCTCCCTCCCCACCTCTGCCACACACTTAAAAAAATTAAATCATGGGCATTTTGATGAGTGTTTGATACTGTTGTCCATCTGGAATAATACGAGCAATAGGCGGTGCAGTGCCTGCCTTTTAGTTTGCTTATAGTTTCTTAAATGCTAATAGCCTTTTATGACCTCGCTCGGAATCCATGATTCACCATGCCCACTGCAGACCGTGAGTAGCTTGCTGCTGGTCCCACGTCTCTGGTGGACTCCTGGGGTTTCAGATGAGACCAGTTTTGTCTATGCGACCTACCCAGCCCTGGACCTTGAAGGACGACTCTGGCTGGTGGCTAAATAGGCATCATGGCAGGACACAGGGCCCAGAGGCTTGACAAGACAGGGACAAAATTGCTAATTGCCCAGTTTCTGTGGATATTTCCACAGGTTGGTTTTCCATTTAACAAGTATGCTCAGAGCAAATGTGGCTCCTGCACTCAAAGACTTCAAAATTACAAGGGGGAATAGTCAGTTAAATAGTAATGCAAGGCAGTAAACTATTATAGTACACAGTAGTTATTTAATCTCTTTGTGCCTCAGTTTCCACACCTGTAAAATGGGGTAATAGTACCTGCCTACTAAGGTTGCTGTGATTAAATGATATAATGTTTATAATATAATTTTTACAGTGCCTGACATATAGTAAGACACTCAAAAAGAATTTGCAAGGCTGTGTAAGACATGTGACATATGGGGTTGTATAAATTAGGATTGCTTTTGGATGCAAGTAACAAGAAATCTAGGGGCTAAAACAGATGGAGGTTAATTTTTTCCCATAAAAGAAGCCCAAAGCCCAAAGATAGGTGGTTGGTTCATCAGTTGAATGAAGCCAGGACTCTTGGTCCTGTGCTGACATCTCTGCTTTTCCCTTGGCCCTTCTGTCATGGTTGCAAGTTGGCTGCTGTAGCTCTGCATTCAAAGCGGGGAGGGGAAGAGGCAGTACCAGGTAGTGGTGACATCCATCCCTCTTGTCAGGACAGAGCTCTCTTAAAAGTCTCCTAGCAGCGCTGCTCTTGCTTGCTTCTCATTGGCCAGAGCTGTGTGACATGGCTACCCCAGGCTAAGAGAGGCTGGGGAGTCAACGTCAGCTCTTCCAGCCTCGCTGGAGGGGGTAGACAGGGCATGAGGAAGTGGACGTTGGATTACCTACAGTAACATAAACAGAAAGAGGGAAAGATGAGAATGGGGATGGCTTCACAGATGACATGGATTCAAGCTGGACCTTGAAGGGTGGATAACATTTGGATAAAAAAATTAGTATTTCTATTTCAGGTATATGACAGGGTCTCATCTTTATGCCACTTCTACTTTTGCTGTTGAGCAGCAGAAAGAGTGCTTGGGGTGATTCTTTAGGGTTTCTGTGCTATTGGTCACTTTGTCTTCAAGCTGTTCCGAGGACAGGATGTGATGGAGTTCTTTGACCTGCTTGTTCAGATTCACAAAGTACACGCTTCCAAATCCCCTTTACGTCTGCCATCTCCATAAGACTAGTATAATTGTCCTTGATAGACTATTCTGTGCTGAATTACATGTTACTTCTCATATGTCTTTGAAGATGGCTTGGACAGTGATAGTTGTGGCTGGGTGCACACGTGGCCATAAAGGTAAGTAACCTGTTCTGCAGGGTATGCCCAGAGAACCTCTTCGATGACCTGATGCATATTTGTTAAGTAAACTATAATGCAAAAACACAATCTCTAAAACTAAAACAAAAGCTGCTGCACTTTGTGGAGGATCCAACATCTATTTTGTTTTTTAACTTTTTGGTTTAACCTGAAACTTAAGAAAAAAAAAAAAAAAGCATTATGCTACATAGCAAATAAACTAAGAATTACTTTAATGTGGGAATTTGCCAAATTACATTCAGAGATTCTCCAGAGATGCTTCTGGGGTTTGACAAGCAAAATAATATGAATTTCATTTAAAAATATTTTGACCTATTTAAAAACTATAATAAAAAACGCCTGCACTCAAATATGTTATATGCCAAATCATAATACATGCGGGATACCAACTTTAGCTCATGTTACTAGGTAAACTTTCTTTTTTTCATTCTGGTAAACTGTTTGTTTTAAATTTTTAATGTCAAACTGGGAATGATTTTTCTCCTGCCATCTCTGTTTTATTAAAGAAGATCCTGAGATTGCAAGACAAGTTGTTAACAAGACCTATTGAAATTTAAACTCAATAGAAGTGAATTAGGGTTGTCTCAACACTGTGCAACTGAAACAAAATCAGATGCTGAGGCTGACATAAGATGGCAATTGTCATCTAAACCTAATTTCAATTTTCTATTCCTTAAACCAGCCTCATTGCTGTGTCTTTGATATTATCTGTAACTGTTATAAAACAGAACTTATAAAATAAATGTATACTTCTAAAATGTCCTTTTATCTGTTTTGCATATGGAAGCTCCACGTAAGATTTTATTTTTAAAAAAGTCATCCAAAGAAAATTAGAAGATGGAATTCAAGTTAAGCAAGTCCTTCACTAGAAACAACCCATCAACGCCTGTTAATCTCCCAAGGAAATAAGTGCCTGGGTTAGTCGTAATATTTGACAACTGTGTTTGTCTCTGCAGAGTTCAGCACATCTTGGGGAATCTCATTATGCAGCTCATTTTGGGGATTCCTTTGGAAATGGTCCACAAAGGCCTCCGAGTGGGGCTGGTGTACCTGGCAGGAGTGATTGCAGGTTAGTGTTCTGAGGGTAACACAGAATCAACACCTCTGGACCCTTAGGAGGTGATACACAAAGCAGAGGTAACAAACATTGATAATGGGCTTCTTATTTAAGTCAAGATTTATTCTACTCCTAATATGTGCTAGGGAATCTGGTAAGCATTAGAGATAAGATATTAGAGATAGGATAAGCATATAGAGATAAGTCATTGTGCCCATCCTCAGGTGTCTCACAGTCAGACAGGGTTTTGCACAATTGGAAACTGCGAGTAATTTGGTGCCCAGGTGCATATATCGAGTAAAGGCCTAAAGGCAGATCATGAAGGCCCTTATGTGTCAGACTAATAATTTGGGGAAGTAACATGATCAAATTTGCATTTAAGAAAGATAACTTCAAAAGAATGTAGAGAAAAGTGAAAGGGGCCCAAAGATTGAGAAAGGACTAGCAGCACATATATCTAGGTGTGCATAACATGATACATTATGGTGTGGGCAGAAAATATTAGAACTCCCATCCATCCATTTATTTATTTATTGGAAACATTTTTTAAAAATTAAAATTTTTAGTTTGAGATAATTATAGATTTATACTGCAGCTGTAATAAATAAATCCCTAGAGGTCCCATGTACCCTTTAACCAGTTACCCCCAATGGTAACAGCTTGCAAAACTATAGTACAGTACTACAACTGGGATATCCACATTGATATAGTCAAGGTACAAAACATTTGTAGCACCACAAGCTATCCTCTCTTCCCTCCCACCCCTACACCCTCCTTTACCCTTGGCAACCACTAATCTATTTTTTATTTGTATAGTTTTCTCACTTCAAGAATGTTATATAAATTGAATAATACATTACAGTCATGCACCGCAAAATGACGTTTCGATCAATGACGGACTGCATATAGGAAGTTGGTCCCATAAGAGTACCATATAGTCTAGGTGCGTAGTAGGCTATATCATCTGGGTTTGTGTAACTACACTATATAACGTTCGTACAATGATGAAATCGCCTAACGATGCATTTCTCAGAACATATCCCCATCGTTATGTGGTGCATGACTGTATATAGCCTTTTGGGATTGGCTTTCTTCACTCAGCATAATTCTCTGGAGATTCATCTAGGTTGTTGCATGTATCAATAGTTCACTCATTTTTATTGCTGAGAAGCATCCCATGGTATGGATGTACATTTGTTTAACCTTTTGTTTATTGGAGGATATTGGAATTGTTTCCAGCTTTTGGCTATTACAAATAAAGCTGCTATAAACATTTGTATACAGGTTTTTGTGAACATAAGTACAGAGATTTGTGAACATAGTTTTCATTTCTCTAGGATAAATGCTCAAGAGCACAGTTGCTGGGTTGTATGGTAGTTGCATATTTAGTTTTTTTCTGCTTGAGGAAGATTAGCCCTGAGCTAACATCTGTGCCAACCTTCCTCTATTTTGTATGTGGGATGCCTCCACAGCATGGCTGATGAGTGGAGTGAGTCTGTGCCCGGAATATGAACCCTTGAACCCCAGCTGCCGAAGCAGAGCATGCAGAACTTTAACCACTTGGCCATGGGGCTGGCCCCTATTAAGTTTTTTAAGAACCTGCCAAAATGTTTTCCAGGATGGCTGTTCCATTTTACATTCCTCTAGGCATTGTATAAGTGATTCAGTTTCTCCATGTCTTCACCAGCATTTGGTGTTGTCACTATTTTTTATTTTAGCTGTGCTCCTAAGTGTGTAGTGATATCTCATCATGGTCTTAACTTGCAGTTCTCTAATGACTAATGATGAACATCTTTTCATGTGCTTATGTGCCATCTGTATATTTTCTTTAGTGAAATGTCTGTTCATGTCTTTTGCTCATTTTCTAATTAGATTTTTTGTTTTTACTGTTGAATTTTGAGAGTTCTTTATATAGTCTAGATCCTAGTTCTTTATTGAATATGTAGTTTACACATATTTTCTCTCAGTCTGTAGCTTGTCTCATTGTCTTAACAGGGTCTTTCATAGAGCAATAGTTTTTATTTATTTTTTTGTGAGGAAGATTGGCCCTGAGCTAACATCTGCCAATCCTCCTCTTTTTTTTGCTGAGGACGACTGGCCCTGGGCTAACATCCATGCCCATCTTCCTCTACTTTATATGGGATGCCGCCACAGCATAGCTTGACAAGTGGTGTGTTGGTGGGTGCCCAGGATCTGAACTGGCGAACCCCGGGCCGCTGCAGCGGAGCATGTGCACTTAACCGCTTGTGCCACTGGGCCGGCCCCAATAGTTTTTAATTTTGATGAAGTCCAATTTATCAATTTTTCCTTATATGAATTGTGCTTTTGGTGTCATGTCTAAGAACTCTTTACTGAGCCCTAGGTCTTGAATATTTTCTCCCATATTGTCTTCTAAAGTTATAGTTTTATACTTTACATTTAAATATGTGATCCATTTTGAGTTGGTTAATTTTTGTATAAGCTGTGAGGTTTAGATTGAGGTTCTTTTTGTTTATTTGTCTGTGGATATCCAATCACTCCAGAATAACCTGTTGAAAGACTGTTCTTCCTTCATTGAACTGCTTTTGCAACTTTGACAAAAATCAGTTGGCTGTAGTTGTGTGGGACTATTTCTGGGTTCTCCTTTTTGTCCCATTGATCAATGTATCTATCCCTTCACCAATACCACATAGTCAATACTGCTGTAGCTATATAATAACTCTCGAGGTCAGTTAGAGTGATTCCTCTTTTTTTGCTCATTTTTAAGATTAGTTTATGCATTTTTCTTTCACAAAATGATTGGTGTCTAATTTGCTGGCTTTTTTTGTGATATCAAAAGGCTTTCAGTAGTAAGCTATCTAACAGATGTTGAAAAAACAAATACAAAATATGTTGCTTTCAGGACATAATAGCATTTTTCTCTCACGGAGTAAGAATGTAACTGCTTTTCCAAAAATTCTCATGCAATGAAAAGGGCATTTTGAAAACTGGTCATTGGAAATTATTCCATCATTATGCGATTTTGCTGCTTTGAAAATGATGCAACAACTCTTATAAGTTCACACTTAAAAAGTGGGGAAACAATTTCCTAATCTGTTTTAAAATTTCTCAGTGAAGAGTTTTAGTGGGTTTTAAACTTATTTATTGTAACACTTTCTGACTAGTTTGCAAGAACAAATGACTGACATTAGGGAAGGCGGTACATAGTAGCCAAATTACAACAAAATTTTTGCATAATTGGAGTTAAGCTCAGCCAGAGATGCAATTCTTCCATTTTAAACTACACATCACTTTTTTTTTTTTTGTGAGGAAGATCGGCCCTGAGCTAACATCTGCCAACCCTCCTCTTTTTGCTGAGGGAGACTGGCCCTGGGCTAACATCCGTGCCCATCTTCCTCCACTTTATATGGGACGCTGCCACAGCATGGCTTGCCAAGCAGTGTGTCGGTGTGTGCCTGGGATCTGAACCGGCGAACCCCGGGCTGCCGCAGCGGAGCGCGCACTTAACCGCTCACCACTGGGCCGGCCCCAAACTACACATCACTTTTTAATTTTATATTTTGGCTATGACAGGGATTAAGAGAAAATTTCTATAGAAAAATAACTGAGCTTAGAAGTATATCTGCATTTCTGTGCCATGATATTTAACTAAGATTTTAAAAAATAATGGAGCTTATTTAATAACACTGCTCATTGAAAGAATTTTTTAAATTAAAGACATTGTTTTTTCAGAGCAGTTTTAGGTTCACAGCAAAATTGAGAGGAAGGTACAGAGATTTCCCATACACTCCTGTCCCTAAACAAGCTTAACCTCCTCCATTATTAACATCCCCCACCAGAGAGGTGCATTTGTTACAATTGATGAACCTACAGTGATACACCCAAGTTCATAAAAACTAGGGTTCACTCTTGGTGTTGTACATTCTATGGTTTTGGACAAATGTATAATGACATGTATCCATCATACTATCATACAGAGTATTTTCACTGCCCTAAAAATCTTCTGTGCTCTGCCTATTCATCCCTCTCCCTGACCCCTAATCCCTGGCAACCACTGATCTTTTTACTGTCTCCATAGTTTTGCCTTTTCCAGAATGTCATATAGTTGGAATCATATAGTATGTAGCCTTTTCAGATTGGCTTCTTTCACGTAGTAATATGTATTTCTTTCCTCCATGTCTTTTCATGGCTTGAAAAGATTTTTTTATACTACTAATAAAGTAAAAATGACTTTAAAATATTGTGTAATCAATATGTCTCATCCTTTAAAAATTCTATTTTTGTGTTTTTTTAAAAACATACTAGTGTCATAGTACATATGTCATTTATAAGTAAGTAAATGTACCTCTATTACAGCGGATGGTTGTATTAGTTTCCTAGGGCTGCCATAAGAAAGTACCGCAAAGTGGGTGGCTTAAAACAACAGAATTGCATTGTCTCACAATTTTGGAGGCTTGAAGTCTGAAATCAAGGTGTCAACAGGGCCAAGCTCCCTCCTCTGATACCTGAGGGGGAGAATCCTTCCTTGCTTCTGGTGGTGGCCATCAATCCTTGGCATTCCTTGGCTTGTAGCTGTGGCACTTCAATCTCTGCCTCCATTGTCACATGGCATTCTCCCTTTGTGTGTCCCTGTCTCCTCTTTTGATAAGGACACAGCCATATTGGTTTAGGGTCCCACTCTACTCCAATATGACCTCATCTTAACTAATCACATCTGCAACAATGCTATTTCCAAATTAGGTCATCTTTGGAGGAGCTGAGGATTAGGACTTCAACGTATCTTTTTGGGGGACACAATCCGACCCACTGCAGTGCTCAAATTTTTTTTACCAGTCAAAACTTTGCCAGCCTCCTCGAGCAGTGGGGATGGAGAGCAGGAAGCAGTCATGAGATAGAATGGGCAAGGCTTAGTGACATAGCACCCCATCCTACCTCCCTCCTGCATCTGTGGATCCTGTTTTTCCACTTTCTACGTCTGTTCCTGCACACACCTGTTTTTCCTGCCCTTGAAAGCCTTTTGTGATGGTCAGGCCCTTCCTGGCTTCAGCATCTACACCCCTGTTTCCCCCACAGCTTGATTTCAACCTGTGGACTCAACCCTGCCCCAGTTTCAGAGGAGAGAACGTGAATAACCTGTTCATATCCTTTGCCTGTTTTTGCAATAGCTTCTCGGCGGGTATCTATATGGATTCCTGTCTATCCTTCACACTGCTGCCTGGGTCACCTTCCTCAAACACAGGTCAGATCATACTGTACCCTTCCTAAAACATGACAATGGCCCAAAGAAAGTTGGAACATGCAAGATTGCCTTTCCTCACCCTCCACTGCTTGGCCCACTGCCTTTCTTTCTTTCTTTCTTTTTTTTTTTAGGAAGAATAAACTTTACTAATATTCAAAAAAGAAATTATACATGAAGAGGTTAGGGGGAGATTTGATGTAACATGTTTTTTTTCTTTAATCTCTTTTTTGAGCTATGACTGACATACAAAAATCTGAACATATTTAATGTATACAACTTGATGAGTTTGGAGATTGATTTACACCCGTGAAACCCTCACCACAATCTGTGCCATAAATATATCCATCACCTCCAAAAGTTTCCTCCCACCTACTGCCTTTCTTGCTCAGCTTTTTTTCAAGATTCCTTCATATGTAATATAATTCTAGTTTCTCTACCCTTGCTCTGGGCAAAGCGTGGTCCACAGACCATCAGCATTGGTATCTCCTGGGAGCTTGTTAAAATGCAGGATGTTGGGTCCCACCCCAGACCTGCTAATCAGAATCTGGGTGAACAAGTCCACAGGTGATTTGGATGCACATTCAAGACTGAGAAGCGCTGGTCTGCACTCGCACCCAGGGTCCCCCAATCTGACTGATCATCAGTATCACCTGGAGAGCTTGTTACAGCTGAAGGGATCCAGATCCCACCCACAGCTACTGAATCAGAATCTCGGGGATATGGCCCTGGGATCTGTGTCTTTTTTTCTTCTGTTTAGTGAGGTATATGTCAACATACAATAAATTGCACACATTTAAAGGGTACAATTTGATAAGTGTTGATACTGTATATAGCTATGAAACGATCACCACAATCAAGATAATGAACTTATCCATCACTCCCCCAAAAGTTTCCTTGTGACTCTTCAGAATCTCATCCTCCTGCTTCCCCCTGCCCCTCCCCCACCTTACCCTGGCAACCACTGATCATTATAGATGAATTTGTATTTTCTAGAATTTTCTATAAATGGAATCATAGAGTATGTACTCTTTTTTGGTCTGGCTTCTGTCACTCAGCATAATTATTATTTTTAAGAAGTCAGAGATTTAATTTGTTTTTAATTAGCAAGTCCATATTCCTTCCACTATACCATACAGGCTCTTGGGAAAACAATATTTGTAGCATAATACATAATCTTCCAAATGGCCAGAGGTGTGCAAACAGGAGCATTGTTTTCGAGTTTTTTTTTTTTTTGCTGACTTTATGATAAGATGGTCTTCTTTCTTCAGATCTTTTTTTCATTTATTTTATTGAGGTTGTATTGGTCTATGACATTGTGTAATTTCAGGTGTACATTATTATATATCAGTTTCTGTATAGACTGCATTGTGTTCACCACCAATAGACTAGTTTTTATCCGTTACCATACATATGTGCCCCTTTACCCCTTTCGCCCACCTCCCACCCCCTTCCCCTCTGGTAACCACTAATCTGTTCTGTTTATCCATGTGTTTGTTTATCTTCTACATATGAGTGAAATCATATGGTGTTTGTCTTTCTCTGTCCGGCTTATTTTGCTTAGCATATTACCCTCAAGGTCCACCCATGTTGTTGCAAATGGGACGACTTTGTCTTTTTTATGGCTGAGTGGTATTCCATTAGATAGATATACCATATCTTCCTTCTCCATTCACCTGTTGATGGGCACTTGGGTTGCTTCCACGTCTTGGCTATTGTGAGTAATGCTGTGATGAACATAGGGATGCATACATCTCTGAATTGTTGATTTCATGTTCTTTGGATAAATACCCGGTATTGAGATAGCTGGATCGTATGGTATTTCTATTTTTAATTTTTTGAGAAATCTCCATACTGTTTTCCATAGTGCCTGCACCAGTTTTCATTCCCACCAGCAGTGTATGAGGGTTCCCTTTTCTCCACATCCTCTGTAACACTTGTTATTTCTTGTCTTGTTAATTATAGCCATTCTGACGGGTGTAAGGTGATATCTCATTGTAGTTTTGATTTGCATTTCCCTTATAATTAGTGATATTGAACATCTTTTCATGTCCCTTGGAAGATATCTTCTTTGGAAAAACGTCTGTTCATATCCTCCGCCCATTTTTTGATCTGGTTGTTCATTTTTTTGTTGTTGAGTTGTTATGAGTTCTTTATATTTTGGAAATTAATCCCTTGCCAGATGTATGATTTACAAATATTTTCTCCCAGTTGGTCGGTTGTCTTTTCATTTTGTTCATGGTTTCCTTTGCCTTGCACAAGCTTTTTAGTCTGATGTAGTCCCATTTGTTTATTTTTTCTTTTGTTTCCCTTGCCTGAGTAGACATGGTATTCGAAAAGATACTGCTAAGACTGATGTCAAAGAGCGTACTGCCTGTTTTCTTCTAGGAATTTTATGGTTTCAGGTCTTACTTTCAAGTCTTTAATCCATTTTGAGTTAATTTTTGTGTATGGTGTAAGATAATGGTCTACTTTCATTCTTTTGTACGTGGCTGTCCAGTTTTCCTGACACCGTTTATTGAAGAGTCTTTCCTCTCTCCATTGTGTATTCTTGGCTCCGTAGTTGAAGATTAGCTGGCCACAGATGTGCGGTTTTATTTCTGGGCTCTCAATTCTGTTCCATTTATCTGTGTGTCTGTTTCCTGCCAGTGCCATGCTGTTTTGATTACTATAGCTTTGTAGTATATTTTGAAGTCAAGGATTGTGATACCTCCGGCTTTGTTCTATTTTCTCAGGGTTGCTTTGGCTATTCAGGGTCTTTTGTTGTTCTGTATAAATTTTAGGATGTTTTGTTCTATTTCTGTGATGATTGTCATTGGGATTCTGATTTGGATTGCATTGAATCTGTAGATTGTTTTAGGCAATAAGGACATTTTAACTATGTTTATTCTTCCAATCCATGAGCATGGAATATCTTTCCACTTCTTTCTGTCTTCTTTGATTTCTTTCAATAATGTCTTGTAGTTTTCAGTGCATAGGTCATTCACCTCCTTGGTTAAATTTATTCCTAGATATTCTATTCTTTTTGTTGCAATTGTAAATGGGATTGTATTCTTGAGTTCTCTTTCTGTTAGTTTGTTATTAGTGTATAGAAATGCAACTGACGTTTGTATGTTGATTTTGTACCTGGCAACTTTGCTATTGTTGTTTATTATTGCTAATAGTTTTCTGGTAGATGCTTTAGGGTTTTCTATAAATAGAATCATGTCATCCACAAACAGTGCGAGTTTTACTTCTTCCTTCCCAATTTGGATCCTTTTTATTTCTTTTCCTTGCCTGATTCCTCTGGCCAAAACTTCCAGTACTATGTTGAATAAGAGTGGTGAGAGTGGGCACCCTTGTCTTGTTCCTATTCTCAGAGGAATGGCTTTCAGTTTTTCACCATTAAGGATGATGTTGTCTGTGGGTTTGTCATATACGGCCTTTATTATGTTCCTTCTCTACCCATATTATTGAGAGTTTTTATCATAAATGGATGTTGGATCTTGTCAATTGCTTTCTCTGCATCTATTGAGATGATAATGTGATTTTTATTCCTTTTTTTTTTTTTTTTTTTGCTGAGGAAGATTCACCCTGAGCTAACATCTGTTGCCAATCTTCCTCTTTTTGCTTGAGGAAGATTTGCCCTGAGCTAACATCTGTGCCAGTCTTCCTCTATTTTGTATGTGGGTTGCCGCCACAGCATGGCCACTGGTGAGTGGTATAGGTCCACACCTGGGAATTGAACCTGGGCCGCCGAAGTGGAGCATGCTGAACTTTTCCATTAGCCCACAGGGCTGGCCCCCCTACATTATTTTTTATCTGATTGTGTTCTTCATATCCAGAATTTCTGTTTGGTTTTTTTTTTCTTTTGAGCTTCAATCTCTTTAGTGAAGTATTCCTTCTGTTCATTAATTTTGTTCCTGAGCTCATTGAACTGTGTTTCTGAGTTTTCTTCTCATTGAGTTTCTTTATGATAGCTATTTTGAATTCTGTGTCAGTTAGATTGTAGTTTGCTGTGACTTCAGGTTTGGTTTCTGGAGAGTTGTCATTTTCCTCCTCTTCTGCAGCGTTACTGTAGTTCTTCACAGTGTTTGATAAATTAATCCTCTGCCAGCACATTTGCGATAGAAATCACCTTTTCTTATTTGGGTACAGCTTTGGTTACTTTGGTTCTGGTCACCTGGGTCTCGTGTTCCTCTCCTGGCTCTCCACAGGCTTGGATGCTGCTGTCCTGTGCACCACCTGTGCTGCTGTTCCCGGGTAGTCTTAGGGTTCTGGTTGCCCTGCTGCCAGAGGTGCTGGGTTCATGGGTCTCACTGTCACTGGCGGGGGCTTGGGGACTTGTATACAGCCCCTGCTGCTGGTGGAGCTGGTGTCAGAGTTGCCACCACCAGGGGCTGGGTCACCAGTTCTGCTGTGGTTCTTGTTCCTTCTACCTGCCACCATCTCGGGGGAGCAGGGGCAGGGTTTTCTTTTCCCGCCTTGTCTGCTTGTAGTTGTGCCCATCAGCTGCCCTGCATTCTGGGGGCCAGCCACAGCTGCTCAGCCAGATACCTTCAGGCAGGCTGGGCCGCTCTGCTCAGCAGGCAGGCTGTGCTTGCGTGGGTGGGGCGGCTGCGCTCTGTGGCAGGTTGCGCTTGCATGGGCAGGGCTGCTGCTCTGGTGGGGCGCCTCAGCACAAGCTGAGCCACTGCCATTTGGCAGGGAATGTTTGTACAGGCGGGGCTGCCACTGCACAGTGGGCACTCCTGCTGGCTGGGCCACCGCTGCTCTGCAAGCGTTTGTGCATGGACCGGGATGCCCCCACCTCTGCTCACAGTCACGCTGGCCACTGTGTTAGGATCCGTATCAGGATTGCTACTGCCAGGAAGCGAGAGGGGGCCGCTCCCGTAGTTCCACTGCTTCCCAGGGGTCTAGTCCTCCCACCTTCAGATGTATAGCTGCATGGATGTCCCAGGCATCCTGTTGTGCCATGTAGGGAATCCTCTGTTGGTTAATGGATGTCCATTTAGTTGTAACTTAGAGGGGAGAGACAAAAGGAATAACTTACTCCACCATGATGCTGACATCACCCTCTCAGCCTAATTGTTTTGAGATTTATCCATGTTGTTGTGTGTATTGATAGTTGATTCCTTTTTATTGCTGAGTAGTATTTCATTGTGGGGATATGCCACAATTTGTTTATCCATTCTCCTGTTGATGGACATTTGGGTTGTTTCCAGTTTGGGATATATATGAAGCTACCATGAACATTTGTGTACAAGTCTTTGTGTGGACAAATGTTTTCAGTTCTCTTGAGTAAATACCTAGGAATGGAATGGCTGGATCCTATCATAAGGCATGTTTAAGAAATGACCAAATTTTTAAAATAGCTTTACTGAGGTATAATTCATATATTACACAATTCACTCATTTAAAGTGCATAATTCAATGTTATTTACTTAATTCACAGGGTTATGCACCCATCATCACAATCTAGTTTTAGAACATTTTTGTCCCCCAAAGAAACCCTGTACCCATTAGCAGTCACTCCCCACTCCTCACCCCACACCCTCACTTCTCCAGCCTTCTGCAACCACTAATCTACTTCTTGTCTCTTTAGATTTGCCATTCTGGACATTTCATGTTAATGGAATCATACAATATGTGGTCTTTTGTGACTGGCTATTTTCACTTAGCATAACGTTTTCATCATTCATCCATGTTGTAGCATGTATTAATGCTTCATTCCTTCTTATTACTGGACAATATTCCACTGTATGGATATACCACATTTTCTTTATCCATTTATCAATTAGGGACATTTGGGTTGTTTTCACTTTTTGGCTATTATGAATAATACTGCTATGAACACTTGTGTACAAGTTTTTGTGTGGCTCTCTTGGGTACATACTTATGAGTGGAATTGTTAGGGTAATATGGTACAAAGAGGTGCCATTTTACATCTCCACCAGAAGTTCCAGTTCCTCCACATCCTCAGCAATACTTGGTATCATCAGTCTTTCTAAGTTTAGCCAATCTATTGGGTCTATAATGGTATCTCATTGGGTTTTAATTTGCATTTCCTAATGATTAATGATGGTGAACATCTTTTCATGTGCTCATTTGCAATCTATATATCTTCTTTGGTAAACTACCTTTAAATCTTTTGCCCATTTAAAAATTGGATTATATTCCTTATTATACATAATAATATATATTCTGATTACAAGTCCTTTATCAGATATATTACTTGCAAATATTTTCTCCTAGTCTCTTGCTTGTTTTTTCATTTTCTTAACAGTATCTTTTGAAGAGCAGAAGTTTGATTAAGTGTAATTTATCAGTTTTTAAATTTTAGAATTGTGCTTTTAGTGTTATATCTAAGAAATTTTGACTAGCCCAAGGTCACAAAGATTTTCTCTTATTTTTTTTCCAGAAGTTTTATAATTTTAGGCTTTACAAATAGGTCTATGGTCCATTTTTATACATTGTACAAGGTATGGATTGAAGTGGCACTTTTTTGCATGTGGATGTCTAATTGTTCCAGTATCATTTGTTGACAGGACAATCCTTTCTTCACTGAATTGCCTTTGCATCTTGTTGAACTCAGTTGTCCATATTTATCTGTGTGTCTATTTCTGGACTTCCTATATGTTCCACTCATATATTTGTATATCTTTACACCACTACCACTCTGTCTTGATTACTGTAGTTTCTAATAAGTCTTTTTTTTTTTTTTTTAAAGATTTTATTTATTTTATTTTTTCCCCCCCAAAGCCCCAGTGGATAGTTGTATGTCGTAGCTGCACATCCTTCTAGTTGCTGTATGCGGGACTCGGCCTCAGGATGAACGGAGAAGTGGTGCCTCGATGCGCACCCGGGATCCGAACCCGGGCCACCAGCATTGCAGCGCGTGCACTTAACCACCAAGCCACAGGGCCGGCCCTCTAATAAGTCTTGAAATCAGGAAGTGCTAGTGCTCCAACTTTGCTTTTTTTCAACGTTGTTTTGGCTATTTTAGGTCCTTTGCATTTCTATATGAATTTTAGCATCAGCTTGTCAATTTCTACAAAAAAAGTCTAATAGGATTTTCATTTGGATTGCATTGAATCTGTAGGTCAATTTGGGGAGTAATGACATTTTAATAATATTGAGTCTTCCAATCCATGAACAAGGTGTATACTTCCATTTATTTAGATCTTTCAAAATTCCTCTCAGCATCTTTTTTAGTTTTCAGTGTTCAGGTCTTGCACATTTTTGGGGGATCATATTTATCTCTGTATTTCATATTTTTGAAGTACTGTATATGGTACTGTTTTCAAAATTTCTATTTCTCATTCTTCATTGCTATTACATAGAAATATAGTTGATTTTTTTGTATATTGATCTTGTATCCTCCAACTTTGATAAATTCACTCATTATTTCTAGTAGTTAGTTTAATAGTTAGTTTAACTGTTAGTTTAAATAGTCAATTATCTTCTAAAGAGATTTAAATAATAAGATAAAAATCTGGTATATTTGCCCATGTTCTTACTATTTCCAGTGTTCTTCCTTCCTTAGTCTCTCTCCATATTTCCATCGGATATCTTTTGCCTTCTGCCTGAGGATTTCCTTTAACATTTCTTGTATGCTCATCAATTCTTTCATCTTTTGTTTGTCTGAAAAAAAACGTTATTTTGCCTTCATTTCTGAAATATATGTTTACTAGGTGTTGAATTCTAGCCTGACAGTATTTTTCTTTCAATACTTTAAAGGTGTTGCTCTACTGTTTTCTTATTTGCATTGTTTCTAATGAGAAATCTGTTAACATTCTTATCATTGTTCCTCAGTATGAAACATCTGTTTTTGACTCTGGCTGCTTTTAAGTTTTTCACTGGTTTTGAGCAATTTGATTTTTTTGTGCGTTTGTGTAGTTTTCTTCATGCTTCTTGTGCTTGGGGTTTGTTGAGATTCTTGGATCTGTGGGTTTATAGTTTTCATAAAACTTTGGAAAAAATTTGGCCATAATTTCTTCAAATATGTTTTCTGCATCTGTCTCCTCTTCTCTCCTTTTGGGACTCCAATTACATATTTATTAGGCTGCTTGAAATTAACCCACAGTTCATTGATGCTGTATTTACTTTTAAAAATATTCTTCTCTGTGTGTTTCATTTTGGATAGTTTTATTACCATGTCTTCATGTTCACTCATCTTTTCTATTGCAATGTCTAATCTGTAATTAAACTCAACCAGTTTATTTTTTCATCTTAGACATTGTAGTTTTCACCTTTAGAAGTTTGACTTGAGTCTGTTTTATATCTTATACAGCTCCACTTAACTTTTGAACATATAGAATACAGTTGTAATAATTATTTATTGCCCTTTTCTGCTAAATCTTACACTTGTGTCCGTTTTGGTAGGTTTTAATTCTTTCATTTTTCTCTTCATTATGGGTCATATTTTCCTGCTTCTTTTCATGTCTGACAATTTTTGTTTGGATGCTCGACTTTTTACCATTGGATGGTTGATATTGTATTCCTGTAAATATTCCTCAGATTTGTTGTGGAACTCAGTTACTTGGAAGGAGTTTGATCCTTTCTCGTAAGATTTCTAGGTGAAACTGTGTTTTTGAGTCACGTTTAGTGCTAATTATTCCCCACTACTTGTGCAGGCCCCTTCTGTGTCCTTTATCCAATGCCCTGTGAATTATAAAGTTTTCTAATTTGGCAAGTTACTTAGTCTGTCTGGTGCTGTGTGAACAATAGGTACTCTTCCCTCTGTTCCTTTCTGGTGGTTCTTTCCTTGGCTCAGGTAATTTCCTCTCATGCTACTCTCTGGAGTTCTCTCTCTGTGCAGCTCTATCCTCTCTGGTGCTCTGTCTTGCAAACTCGAGCTTCCTAGGTCTATCTGGACTGTAAACTCTATCTCAGCAAATTAAAGTTTACTGAAATCTTCCTGAGTTCCTCCTTCATGCACTGTAGCCTGTAATCTCTCTAAGGCAGTAAGCTGGACAATCAGACAACTCATCTAATTTATTTCTTGTCTCTCAGGGTTCACTCTTTTGTTATCTGACGCCCAGTATCTTAAAGACCATTGTTTCACCTATTTTGTCCAGTGCTTTAGCTGTTTCAGGAGGGAGAGAAAATTTTTATCCTTGTTACTCCTTCATGGCCAGAAGCGGACATTTGTATCGGTATTTTAAAAATAAATTTCTCATATGATTGTCTTAAACCCCAGCCCTAGTCTGTAGGTTAACATTTGAGAACCATTGCTGTAACCCTGTTGGACTACTTCTCACTGATCTTCAGTCATCCATATACCTTCATTTCTATGTCTTTGCTTTTCTACTTCCCTAAGTCCTAAATACCTTCTTCCCCTTTGTTTTCCCTAAATCTTAAAGATTCTTCAGAGTTTAATCAAAATGCTATTTCCCCCTTCTCAGAGTAGCAGAGCCTCAATCTCTCTGCTGAAAAAGTCATTCCTTCCTAAGTGCTTTCATAGCAAATTTATTATTTTTTTTATCACAGCAGTTGTTATATTCTCCATTTTATGATAATTGTTTGCTCATCCATTTGTAAGATTCCTAAGGTCAGATACTTTGTCTTTCTTGCACAAAGTAGGTATTATATTGTATCCTAAGGAATGAAGGAGGGCCTTGAAAGCAAGAGACTAAGTAATAGAACTAAGCAGTACAGAGAGAACATTTTAGAGTTTGCATAAGGTAGTTTTAAAGCCTTGTTTTAGTTCATGCAACCTAAGATTGGGTTAGCAAATAGGTTTCATCTTGCTTGGTGAATCTGATTGAAGGGTATGTTGAGAAGGATTGTGAAGCAACATCTTGACTCCATGAGAAAGCTAGTCTTTAAATAAATAAAATGTTGGAATGTCTCAGGTATTTTGATAGTTTTGGCTAAACATATGGGATATTTTGAAACAACAGCTAACAAGTACAGTTATGTGCCACATAATGACATTTCAGTCAATGATTGGCTGCATATATGACAGTGGTCTCGTAAGATTGGTATCATATTGCCTAGGTATGTAGTAGGCTATACCACCTAGGTATAAGTATTTGTGTAAGTACACTCTATGATGTTCACACAATGACAAAATTGCCTAACAATGCATTTCTCAGAATATATCCCCATCATTGAGTGACACACGACTGTATATCAAACATGTCAGGTAGTGTTCTAAGCATGATACACATATCAACTCATTTACTTCCCCTGACAACCCATTGAGGTAAGTTCTATTAATACCCGATTTCGTAGGTAGGGACTATAATGCACAGAGAGGTTAGGAAACTTGCTCAAGTCACTCAGCTGGTAATTCTGGCTCCAGAGTCTGTGCTCTTGTCACTATTATACTCTCTTCATATTGAACATTTAATGTTTCAGAAAAACTGAGTTATTTAGTCCACATAGCTGTACTTTTATAGTATGGAAGGGATAAAGTGAGCTTGTTGCTTGTTAATAGGATAATGGTCCAAACTTCCCCAACTTTTACCTTAGATTAGAAAGATTTATCTTCCATGATTGTTATAGTCATGTCTGATCCTTTGTGTTTTCTTTCTTTAGGATCTCTTGCCAGCTCCATCTTTGACCCACTCAGATCACTTGTGGGGGCTTCAGGAGGAGTCTATGCTCTGATGGGAGGCTATTTTATGAATGTTCTAGTGGTAAGAACTTTGGAAATGGAATCTATGGACCTTTTTTTTTTTAAACAATAACTGGTATTTGGTTCAAGGGATCTTCATTTATCAATATTCACTGAGAACTCACTCGCACCAGAGTTTTCCTTTCATATTTTATCTTCATTTTCTTTCCTTATCTCAAAAGTAATGAATACTAAATAAAACTTTAAATTAAAAAATAGAAAGTCAAAATCCCCAATATAGTATCTGTTAACAGTTTGATATACATCCTTTCAGACCTTTTTCTATATGTATTCAAAATCCTATCAATATGAATACTACAAAAATGGAACCACCCTTATAGATATTGTTCTGCATCTTAACATAGAATATCCTGACCACCTACATGTCAGTACACAGAAACCCACCTCAATCTTTTCAAGTGCTCCATAGCACCCTCTATATAGCTGTACCATGACTTATTTAATCCTTCCTTGAAAAAAATTTGGAGTGATTCCAGCTTTTCACAATTACAAATAATGCTGTAAGGAATGTTCTTTTGCATTTTTGTCATTTTTTTTGGTAGGATAAATTTCTGGAAGTGGATTTACTGGATGAAGGCTTTAAATTTTCATAGATAAATGCCAAATTGCCTCCAAAGTTAGCATACCATTTTACACTCCCATGATATAGTATGCGAGAATGCCAACCACTTTTTAAAACAGGCTAAAATCCTGACTAATTCTTAACCCTTTACCCATGTAGGTATACTTTAAAATTACTCTAGAAGGAGAAATATGAAGCAATTATAAAACTCCAAAAATAGAAGTCATTTAGAAAAATGTTTTTCAAACTCTGGATTGCAACCCATTAGTGGTTGTGAACTCAGTTTAAGAGATTGTGACCAAACATTAAACAAAAAGAAAAAAAATGAAAAAAATCTCAGTATGCATCACGTGTAAGAAGGGTAAGTACTATTTGATTTATGTGTGTGCTAGATTGTTATATAAATTATTTCTTACTGTAGGTTATGGTCACAACAGTTTGAAAATAATTGATTTAGAATAAACTTGGCTATTTCAGCATCTTTACTCCTTGAGAAGAGAGTTAATAACTTGAAAGGTAAGGGAGAAGTAACTCAATAAATTAAAGTGGAAATGTCTTTCTGACTCAGCAATTCTCTAGTAACACGGGAGGGTACTGCACGACGGACTAAGATTCTTTTTTTTTTTGGTGGGGAAGATTGGCCCTGAGCTAACATCTGTTGCCAATCTTTCTCTTTTGCTTGAGGAAGATTGTCTCTGAGCTAAAATCTGTGCCCATCTTCCTCCATTTTGTATATGGGATGCCACCACAGCATGGCTTGATAAGCTGTGTGTAGGTCTGCACCCGGGATCTGAACCTGTGAACCCCGGGCCACTGAAGTGGAGTGCACGAAATTAACCACTATGCCACCAGGCTGGCCCCTGGACTGAGATTTTTCAAAGCTAAAATCAAATTGGTTTTTTTTTGGCCAATACTTAAAAATTTTTTGAAATTATCTCAAAAAAATTAAGGTAATACTCAAATTTTATTTAAGTCTTTGCTAACTTCTACTCTTTGGAAGAGGATAAAGAGGTATCAAATGAATATTAACCAAAAAACTTGGAAATATTTCATCAGACTTATTTTGACAGCATCTATCTATGTATCTATGACACGTTGTATTGATTTTATTACTTATATTTAGATTATTTCCTGCTGATAAAATTATGTCTAGTTTATATCATGGAATTAAATATCATGTTTCATTTTGTTCCCCCAAGTGCACCAGCATTGTACTTCCCAAACACATTTGAAAACTGGGCTGTTACACCAACGCTTTGTTTTGCAAATATTTGACACTTGCACTTTTTTAAATGAAAAAGCAGATGAAGAGGGAGGACAGCTGAGGTTTCATTTGCCAATAGACAGCTTATATTATTATTATTTGTCTCTTTGCAAGAATTTTCGAGAAATGATTCCTGCCTTTGGAATTGTCAGACTACTGATCATCATCCTTATAAGTAAGTTTGTTTTGTCAACACTTCACACCTTCAATTTTATTGGTTCCACCTTCAGAAGACCTTCTCGTGTTTCCCAAACACCAACATGTAGGATGATTGCTAGTCTAGAGTCAAAAGACTTGTTGGCTCTATGGTCCTAAGCAGAAAGGTGTAAGTGGAGGAGTTTTCACTGACCCTTGTGGGTAATTCTTAGAGGGGCCTCAGTAACGTGTTTTTGCTTTGTGCTTCTTTCCGGAGAAGGAGAAGTCAAGAGAGTACAGTTCTAGGCACTGCTTCCACATCAGCCACAATAGCTTCATTTATGTTTCATAGAACTGGATTTTTCTCATTCATATGAGAAAGCTTGAAAGCTTGAAAACCACTGATAGAACCTATTTTCTTCCTCAATTTCTGACTTTTCAGATAAAAAAAAACTGATCTAGTATATGAGCATGGAGTGTGGCTGAGGATTGAAGATGGGAGCGGAGGTGAAGGAATTGAGAGGTCAGGGAACTGGGGGGATGACTAATGTGACTTTTGACATCGCCAGGAATTATGGTAGAGAATTCCTTGCTGAAGGAGTTGAGGAAGGCTGTTCAATTTGGAGAGGAGGTGGAATTTTAGCTGAGTCGGAAGGTCAGGGTAGATTTTGGATGGTGGCAGATCATACAGAGTAGAAAAAAACAGGAGCAAAGGCAGGGCTAGTAACCTGTGTTTCTAGACCTGTTCCAGCTGAAGCTGTGTCCACTCGGAGGGTGTCGGGAGAAGGACAGATGCTGGGGTCAGACTGTGGGGTCAGAATTGAGGACCAGGACAGAGGTTCCACTTGATAAAGCCTAAGATTTTGGCTGTCTACATGACAAGAAAAAATGATTGTGCTAATTGGTGTCAAGGGTTCAGTTATCCACACTGGTGGGAACAGGGATAACCACATGAGGACAGGGCCTAAATCTAGTTTATGAACAGATGAACTGTAAAAACAATTATTTCATCCTGAGAGAGAATAAGTGACTTGTTTCTAGTTTATACCAAACTGTATACAATGTTTTTCTCCATAGGAAATCCAAAAAGTGAGGGGAAGTTAGTGCAGAAAGGGGAGCAAGCGTCTGGGGTTAGTTAGGAGAGTTGCTGTGGGAGCAGAGCGGCCACCTGCGTTGTTACGAGTCACAGCCAGAACCAAGAGACAAGTCCTTAGACCAAAAAATGTTGTTACCCCAGTGACCTGGTCTTCAGTCAATCTGCTTCTTTTAGGTCATTATGAATGACTTTTGTAAAATAAGCCTCAGACCCTTGATGAGGAAATGGTTTTAATACTCTTCAATGTTGGAGTAAAAACCCTTTCCTCATGCCCAGGGAATCTCCAAAGATAGTTATGTAACATGATGTCATTCTTGAGGTAAGTAATGCAGTCACTGAGTGGTTAGATCCTACAAACATCTTACGGAGCAGGCGCGATATGCTAGCGTTAACCTTCCCCACTTCCTGGCATGCGTCATTTCTGAAAGTTCTTTGGCCTGTGTTTACCTACTATTGAAAATGAGAAAAGTTACACGCCAGATTAACAAAATACATTTGTATTTTAAATACACTTCCTTAGGAAAACGTATAGTTTTTTTTTTAATGGTAAATTTTATTCTTAAGTGTGAAGGACGATTGGCCTTCAGGACCTTCCTTCATTAAGCATTATTTGTTGGATGTGTTTTCTAATGAAGCAACTGAGCGTCCCTTTGGAAAAAGTTAGGGAAATTTCACATTTTCATCCCTCAAAAACATCCGTATAAAGGCAACCCTCTTAAAATGAGTGTCAAATTTTTAGTGAGGACAATGATTTGGTTTATTGGAATAAGGGCTTCTTTTCAGGTGGGAAGACATGTCTCAGTTTAGAGACTGTAGCAACTTAGAAGCAAACTCTCCTAGGACGCAGAAAGAGCCAGGCACAGATAAGTCAGGAGGAGGCAAGAGAAGAGAGAAATGGAATGGAGAAATTGACATGCTAAGGGTTACAGGGACTTTTTGAGAGGTGGCCTCCTACTGTGGAAGGCTAGACTGGAGTAACTGTTTCCAGGAAGTCAGCCTGTTCTCCTGCAGTGGTTTTCTTATACTTTCCTAGTCCTATCTTTGTGTGTTATTTACACTGGATTGGGAAATGCAAATGATGATTGAAAATACGATACAGCCACATTTATCCAGCATTTTGTGTAATAGTCATTTACAATTAAATTAATATTGAGTGTTTCCTCGACCTCAATTCCTGTCCAGTGGTTTCAACATCAATACAGTATTGAAAGGGAAACTAGCCAGAACACATGGTCCTGATGCTATTTTCCCTAAGGCAAGGACTAGGTCTTTCCATCTCCTAGGACACAGGGGCTCACTAAGTAGAGCACAGGGAATTGGGGCATGGGTGTGGAATGTGACAGCTACACGAGATGTTTCCGGGTGGAGTTCCTCTAGGCTAAGAAACCCCTGAAGCTCCTTTTGCATCACGGATCTGACTTATTTGAAAAATGTCTGAGTTCTGGCTCTCTCTGTTCCATTGGAGAATGTGGACTCATTTCCTTTCTTGGTCCATCTTCAGTAGTCCTGATGGAAATTCAAGGCAATTAGTGTGGTGGGTGTGAGTGGAGCCTCTGCAGCCAGACTGCTTAAGGTTCAAATCCTGCCCCTGCCTCTAAGCTGTGTGTCTTGGTATCTTTATGTATAAAATGCCACCATCCTTCTTCACTTGGATTGTGCAATAATAGTAATCTAGCTGGTATTCCTGCTCCTGTCCTCGCTCCCTTATAGTCTATTTCCTTTCATTTCCTAAAAATGATATTTTAAAAACAGATGTTAGATCATGTCACTCCTGTGCTCAGAAGTTTTCAAAGGCCTCCTATCACTCAGAGTAAGTCAAAGTCCTTACAGTGGCCCATAAAGCCCCTACATGTTCTGTCCGCTACTTATCACCTATCACTTTATCCCCAACTTTAGTCCAGAATCACCTGGAGGTGTTCTTAAACACAGACTGCTGAGCACCACCTTCAGAGTTTCTGGTTCAATAGGTCTGGGGTGGGGCTGAGAATTTTAATTTCTAAGTTCCCAGGTGCTGCTGCTGCTAGGGCTGTTGCAGCGGAACCACACTTTGAAAACCACCTAGCCACTCGGAAAGCCAGATCAACTGCGCTGGTATTCCTCAAACATACCAGGCAAATTCCTGCCTCAGGGACTTTGCACTTGCTCTTTCCTCTGCCTGGAAGACTCTTACTTCACATGTCAGCATGGCTTGCACCCTTAGCTCTGTCAAACGTCATATTCTCAGTGAGACCCTCCCTGGCTCTCCTATTAATAATCACACCCTCCTCACAGCATTTCCAATCCTCCTTCTTCTCTTTGTATTTTCTCCATAGCACTCAGCACCATCTGACATACTGTGTTTTACTCATTCTTCTGTTTGCCTCCCCCCACTAGACTGTCAGCCCCAGGAGGCAGGGCTGTCTGATGTGTTCACTGCAGTATTTCTACTGCCTAGAGTCGTGCCATGCACATAGAAGACAATCAATAAATACTTGTTGGATGAATAAATCTGTAAAATGGGATAATGATAGTACCTATTTCATAGGGTCTTTGTGAGGATTAATGAGTCAATACATGTAAGGCTCTTAGAGCAGCATCTGGCACAGAGTAAATCTCAATAAATCTGAGCTGCTACCATTATTAGAGGGGAGCCAAAACCATTTAGTGCACTGTTGGCAGAGATCCTGGCGCTTCATCAGGTTGTTTTTCCTTCTAGTTGGGTCGGACATGGGATTTGCTCTCTACAGAAGGTTCTTTGTCCCTGCGAATGGGTCACCGGTGAGTTCAGTTTATTATTTTCTTAATGGAAAATTTGTTTACCTATCATATCCATAGCTAAAAAGAGTCATCAAATGGCGGCAACAATTCTGTCATTTAGGGCAGCCAAATTTCCATTTGGAAGAAAATTCCTGAGGAAATTGGACTTTTGGATTGTCCTTTTCATTTAACTCTTTCATAGCCCTGATCACTGGCTCCACTTCTCTGCACCTGCCATACTGGTGGCTATTCCAAAACAGGAGAGAAGAGATTTCACTGTCCACTGAGAGTAAAAACCAGATTGGAAAACAGCAATGAAAATTTGGGTCCAGATGAACTCACAATATCAAGAAAACTGACAAACATTTCCAGTTTTGTTGGAATTAGTCTTTGAATTTGGTAGTTTCTGTTTGAGTGTGTGTATTACCTGTGTTTGAATTCTGACATTCCATTTATGTGGGGTCAGACTGGGCTCCTACAGTAATCCCTCACAGCAGCTCAACTCTTATTCTCTTGGTTGGCACTATATAGAACCATCCTAAATGCAATGATGATTAAGAAGAATGAGAAACAATGGGTTTGTCTTGTGTACTCAGAGAGTGGATGAAATGACATTTTTTAGCTTTGCATGTTTTAGAACATCTCCTTCTCTCTGTGCACATGGAATTTTGTGTCTCTTTTGCCTCACCTCCTTGCTCTTCAGACTTTTAAGACTCTTGTTTGTCTGTGACGGTATTTGTTTTTTAGTAAGAGAGATGCAACTGACACATGCAATCAGCATTTTCTTCACTTATTTCCATTTTTCCCCCTTTTCTCCCAAGGTGTCTTTTGCAGCTCACATTGCAGGTGGATTCGCTGGAATGTCCATAGGTTACACTGTGTTTAGCTGCTTTGATAAGGCGCTGCTGAAAGATCCAAGGTTTTGGATAGCAATTGCAGCTTATTTAGCTTGTGTCTTGTTTGCCGTGTTTTTCAACGTTTTCCTATCCCCAGCAAACTGACCTGCCTGTAATATAAACTAATTAATAAAAAGAGCCATCTGGGAAAAAACTGGAGAACTCTATGAAGAAACAGAGAAGTCCCAGCAACTGCCAACATTTTTATAAAGAGAGGGAACCACCACTGAAGTCATCAGCTGCAGAGCCTGCTTACAAAAGGAGTTATGGTTTAAGGAAAGGGCTTCTGAATGCAAAAGGAGGAAAGAAGAGGAGAGAGAACGGAAGGGAAGTAAAAACCAAGATTGGCTTTTTCCCAGGCATATGGTGTGTATGTATCCTGTAAAAGAGACTTGCTCTCCTTGGAGGACATATTGTAGAGATTGCTTGATAGAATCCACAAATACTGTGCTATGCTGATAATAAAAACTTTTCATATCTGTGTCAGACTATTGATAATCATTTTCTATCACTGTCTGAGTCGATAGATCACTGTTTGAGGTGCTTTATATACATTATTGCCAATCTTTTTTAACAGCCTAGAAAGGTGGCTATTACTCTGTATCTTAGAGAGGAGGACATGGAAATTGTAAAAAATCAAATAACTTGTCTAAGAGGGGGCAGGATTTAAAGGTTGGTGATGACTTGAAAGCCCACACTCTCCTCCCCTACTGGTCTAACAATGCAGTGTTCCCTAAAAACTGAAAATTAAGAGTGTCATGAGAGTATAGGAATAAACGTTTTTGTGTGTGCACCACGAATGGCAAATACCTTATAGAAAAAGACTGAGAATTCTCTGGACTGCTAGTTTAAGATTCTAATAGTGTGTCTAGGAACCTGGAACTAGCTTTCTGGTGCCCATTAGGTACCTGGACTCTGGATTCTCATCTATAAGATTCTCATCCTTCACATGGCTAGTGGCTGTCCTAGTAGGATTTACTTACAAAAGGTAAAATATATCTGAAACTGAGAAGCCTCTGTCCTTTTCCTGTATAGAACCAGATTGTTGGCCATTTTTTCCAAAATAGTAGTTTTAGATCATTTGAACACAGGAAATATAATTTTTTATTTTTTCATCATCAACATGTTTTATTTATAAACATCCATCTAAACATGTTGCTGTATTTGGAAAGGAGCATACACACTTACTGACAGTGAGAAAAGTTGTATTTTAGCATTTTGAGAAAAACTGATCTGGGATCTGTTAAAAATTTTTTTTTTAATTTGAGAATGAAAATATGAGTATGTTCTTGGTTAAGCAAAGATCTGAACAAGAAATTAAAAGATAAAAGCCCCCTTTACTTTCCCACTCAAACCTCTTTTTCTGGTGATGACTGCTGTCAGCAGCTGGGTGTGTATTCTTGAAGACCTTTCTCTATCCAGGATGAGCAGAAAGCAAAATGGATTTTAGCTGATGGCTGACTCACTTACTGCATTGAACTGCACTGAATCTGCTCTACACCCTCAAAGGGATAAATGCGGAGAACAAATTGAAGGAGGCTGTGGTATAACTTCTAAGCATGATTTGCCTCTCAGATTTACCTAAAAAGGTTTGGGTTAATCTGTTTTAGCTGATTAAATATACATATAAAATGTAGGTTTTAACAAGATAAATGAGATTATACTACATGTATTGTTCTGTAACTTGCTTTTTAATGACTTAGAGATCTTTCTCTGTTAGTTCTCTGAGTTGCTGAGTGATAAGATGTACTATAGTTCATTTAACCATTCCTCTATTGGAAGCTTAAGTTGTTGCTAATTTTGTACTGTTACCAACAGTGCTATGTGAACATCCTAGCATGTGTGCTGTGTCTTTGAGTATGTTTGCCGAGCGAATATTTCAAGCATCCAGAAGCAGAAATGCTATGTTAATTTTGATTTAAACTGCCATTTATTTATTTATTTATTTAGTGTGTGTGTGTGAGGAAGATCAGCCCTGAGCTAACATCCATGCCAATCTTCCTCTTTTTGCTGAGGAAGACCGGCCCTGGGCTAACATCCGTGCCCATCTTCCTCCACTTTATATGGGATGCCGCCATAGCATGGCCTGACAAGTGGTGTGTCGGTGCGCGCCCGGGACCCGAACCCGGGCCACCAGCAGCAGAGTGCGCGCACTTAACCGCTACGAGACAGGGCCGGCCCAAAACTGCCTTTTAAATAGCCGTACCCATTTATATTCTTACCGACAGTAAATGAAGAGTAACAGTTTCCTCACACTTTTGCCAAAGCAGGTATTAGAAATCTTTGAAAAATTTGCATTTTGATAGTTAAAAAATAATACTTCATTTTAATTTGTATTTCTCTGACTACTCATGAGGCTTAGTGCTTTTTAAGTTTAAGAATTTATGTATAGTTTATATATTACACATAATATGTAATTTATATAATACATAATATACAAATATGAACATATATATACATTTTTTTCCCAGATGAAATGCTTGCATTTAATCTGAAAAGTAGCTATTAGTTGGCAAAGAAGCCCAGGGAAGAAATATTCATCTGCCATGGACAATCCACCCATGATCACTAGCTCTGAAAAGAGACCTTTAATGACCTAAAGTGCAAGGTAATTGTTAATAACAGAAAACTAGATAGAGAAATAGGATTCATCTAATTATAAAATTGGACATGACCCATTGATTATTAAGACCGATGACTAAGAAGTTATTATCTAGTTAGGAAGACTTTTTGGTACTAGAAACATTGTTCACATTACCAAAAACAGTGATATCTTATGGGGTGCCGCAGGGGGCAAAATTACCATTAAAAAAAAACAAAACACAAACATCTGGTGTTTTAAATTTGACATCTCTGAATTATAGAGGGACCATTTATTCAGCTTAATTTGGGGCTCATAACTTAAACTGTGCTGTTCTTAGAAATACTGGAAATATTCTTTATCTGTGCTATCCAATAAAGTAGCCACTAGGCACATGTAACTCTTTAAACTTTAATTAAAATTAAATAAAATGAAAAATTCAGTTCCTCTGTTACTCAAGCTGCATGACAAGTGCTCAATAACTATATGTGGTGCGTGGCTACCTTACTGGACGGCGCGGATAGACTCTACTTCAACAGCGTTGCGGAAAGTGCTATTGGGCAGCGCTGTTTCAGAAGCAAGAATGAGCAGAAAGAAATGGATTTTAGCTGATGGCTGACTCATTCGCCGCATTGAACTGAACTAAATCTGCTCTACACCTGCAAAGGGATGAATTCAGGGAACAAGCTGAAGATGGCCATGGAGTAACTTCTCCTAAGCATGATTTGCTTCAGATTTACCTAAACTAAGAAAGGTTTGTGTTAATCTCTTTTAGCTAACTAAAAAAGGAGTCATCTGAAATGTTTTTTATCTTTTGCTTTAGAATTCTATATAGTACTGCATCTTTGTATACTAGTATTCATGTCGTTTGCTATGAAAGCTTTAGAGTCTAAGATTTGTAGCTAAAGCATACTGCTCCTTTCAGGAAATACTATGCTCTCGCCTTTTAAGGAAAAAAAAAACTTTTATTTTTGTGATTACAAAAGTTAAGTGCTCATGGTAACAAAAATTAAAATACATATAATTATAAAAAAAATTAAGTCAGTTGTAATCACACTACCCAGAGATAACCATAGCTAATATTTTGACGAATATCCTTCTAGGCTTTTTTCTATGCATCTTTACATATAAACACATTTACAATAATGGGGCCATACTATTCTATTTTAGAACCTGAATGTCACTGAAATAATACATCAAATATCTTTTTATATTAGTATATCAATTCTACAGGTTGCATAGTACCACACTGTGGTTGTACTGTAATTTATTATGTACAATACAGCCTTTCTTGTATTGATAATTATTTTGGATGTTTTCAAATTATTATTATTATAAACAACATGAATAATATCTTTGTTTACACTTTAAAGTCCTTTGAATTGTTGAGTCAACGAGTATACTATTATTAACATAATGAAGTCAAATAGAAATTTTCTCTATCTCAGGAATACAACTAAATTTTAGAAGGCTGATGCTTTTGTAAGTTTTTTTTTAACTATATAAAGCTTTAAAAAGGGAACTTAAGACTCCAGAACCAGTTATTTAAAAAGTCAAAACTATCACTATTTTACATGCCTAGTTTAAATAATTAAACTTTTAAGAGAAAGCAGATGATTTTTTAATGTTTTTTCATGCAAATTTCAAGTATGCTAAAGGGGAAAAATAACAATCTAGTAAAACAATTAAGAGCTGACCTTAGAGCCACGTTGACTGAGGTTGAATGCCAGTTCTAGGTGTGTGACTTTGGGTAATTTAAGGTGTGTGACTTTGGGTAATTTAAGGTGTGTCTCAGTTTCTTTATCTGTAAAACGGGGAAACAACATACCTACCTCATAGGATCTTTATGATGAACATATCTTGTAGCTATAGTATCCTAGTATGTTTGATAGTGTAACATTTCCCTTTCTATAAGGGGTATAGGACATACATTTATATTTTATTCACATGAAAGTAGATAAAAACATTCACTCTTTTTTTCTTTCCTTTGGGATATATTTACTCTTAGGTATCCTAGGATATCTTAATATGGAACCTACTGGTTGATAATCCAAGCATCTAAATTATAACTTGCCCCAGTGCTCCCTCCACAAAAGCAAGCTACATGTCTTAAATAGGTCAAATACTGTTACAATGAAAATTTCTATGATATCACCACCACCACAATGATCCATTTATTTCAAGTAATATCTAATAACAATCGGGTAGTACAAAATAGTTGAGAATTTTTGGAGTTCATTTTAAGATGATAAAGATTTACAAAATTTTTCATAGCAAAGTATAATAAGAAGTTTATGTGGATATAAATTTATATTTATATCCACAAATACATTAATGAAATGGCTTCTAAAAATGCCCAAAAACTGCCAGAAAGAAACCAGAATTTAGACGTTTAAATGTGGATTAAAGAACTAATCTAAATTCCTATAGCAAGAGCCAGATCTGTTTCTTCTGGTTTCATTAAATGCTGTTATCTTACCAAATTATCAAATGAAACACATTCATTTTCCTTCGTGCATAAATGAGATTTTAAAATCATTGACTTTGGTTGTAACTTTTATATAATCTTAATAAATAGGTTTGTAAGATTAAGTCAGTAGTTTTAGGAACCTCTCCAAAAGTTCTCAGTTTAAAAAAATAAAACAACAACAGCTAAGTAAGAAAACTCCTTATAGGGAATCCTACAGTTCTATTCTTCACAGAGAATATATACACCCCACCCCAGGTAATCATTTTTTTTTTTCATTGCATTATGAGGTCTAAACGTAAGTGATTTTAAATTCCTGACATCTTAAATATATTCTTGGTAACAGATTATCACAGCTCTCCAGGGGAAAAGGAAAACAACCAACACACTGAAAGAGTGATGCTTTGTTCATATTTTGGCCATAGGCTTGCTTCAA